GTCGAATATAAATAAAATATTACATCAAATAAATATATTTGGTTGGGATTTACAACCAACATCTAAGTATTATCCTGTACTATTTATTTTATTAGAAATAAACACGTGATTTTTGGGAATGTTAATAACAACGTATTGGGTGTAGAATTCCTTTATCACCTGATCTTCTTTTGTTGTTCTCGTTAAGCGATCATAGACAGTTCGTGTTAAATTTAATACTCCTAATGAATTATGTGTACTGACACGTGAAATTGCGGTATATGCGAGTTTCTGACTACAACCTCGTAGATCAACTACCGCTCGTTTTAAAGTAGTGCCTTGGGATTTATGTACCGTCATTGCATAAAATGGTATCACTGGAAATTGTTGGATTACAGGTACGACATCTAGTGTAGAACCTGTATGATATACAGGCGGACTACTTAAATTAGACACCAAAAGTGTACGTATGGCTAGTATATACTCTCTAATATAGGGGGTCCCTAGAAAACTCTTTGCTATATATACTTGAATAAAAATCCTAGCTCCCAAGAGGGTAGACGTTAAAAAAAAAATAAATAAAATAAAAAAAAATAAAGCAAATTAATGCGATTTATTTTGAATTATTTTGAATTAATTTAATGTTATTCATTTCATCCTTTTAATAATTATTCTTATTTTTGCTTATATATTATATAAAATTAATTTTCTAAATAAATCAGATTAATTCAAATTATTTTAAATTATTTCAAATTAATTTTACGTTATTTATTTTATCTTCTTTATAATTATTCTTATTTTTGTTTATATATTATATAAAATTAATTTTTATATAAATCAAATTAATTTGATTTATTTTGAATTATTTCGATTTAATTTAACATTATTCATTTCATTCTCTTTATAATTATCCTATTTACTTTATTTAATATATTTATTTTGATCTTATACAAACTACTTTAATTTATTTTAAATTAATTTATTTTATTTTACAAATAGTAGTTAGTAAAGTCTAGTTATATTTAATTAATTTTATTTATTTCAAGCTTATTTAATCTAATTCAAATTATATCAATATATTTTTTTCATAATATCGCGCAAAATATTGCGCAATATTTTGCAATATCTTACGTAATATTTCGTAATTATATATTTTACACTATTGCACAATATTTTGCGTAATATTACGGCTATTTTACATTGTATAATTTATTGCGTAATATTATGCTCTATTAAATTTGCTGATATATGAATCTTTATAAAGTTGTGAATATGTTTGTATTGGTTCTGGTATAGTGATTAAGTGATAAACTTGAATGATAAATAAGTTTATTTTGTAGCTCTTGATGTTGTGTGTTTGTTATATCAAGCCTAATGGCTTGCAGAAATTGTTATATTGTATTAGTGATGATTGTATTTAGATTGGGTATACTTGGGCATATAAGCTAATATATTTGGCCTTTGTGAGAATTACATGAAATACGGTTGATATTTGGAAAGTATTAGGGATTTAGAGTATATAAGTTTGATAGTGTGGGTAATATGTTAAACATAAGTTTGATTTTGAAAGTTTTTTCTTGACAAAGTTTGAAGTTTGTATAGAAAAAT